CCCACTCCTCCCCGCCATGGCATTTTCCCAGTTGGGCTACCAGTACATCCGCCCGCTCTACGGACCGACGGACCGCCAAGGGAACAACGGCAGCGGCGGCGGCGGCGGCGGTTCCCGCACCGGAGCCGAGATGAGCCCGGCCGGTTCGCTCTGCGGCGTCCTATCGTCCATGTACGGCGCGCCTTACGCGGCAGCCGCGGCTGCTCAGGGCTACGGGGCCTTCCTGCCTTACGCGGCGGAGCTTCCCATCTTCCCGCAGCTGGTAAGGAGAAGAAACGCGCCTCCCCTCCTCTCCCGAACTCCCCCCCCACCCCCCCAAGGAAAAAACCCCGACTTTCCCCTCCGTTCCCTTCCTTTGCAACTTGCCAAAGCGGGAGCGGGTTTGAAGTCGGGAAGCCTTTGCGCGGGGACCCGATCCCTCTCCGCTTCCCCGCCAGACTTACAGGGCCAGCCGCTGGAGAGAATTTCCCTTTTTCTTTTCTTCCTTCCTCTCTCCCTCTTTTTTTTTAGTGCCAGAAAAAAAAACAGCTTTAAAGAGGAGGCGATTTCCCTCTTTTTCCCCTTTTCTCGGCTTTTTGTTTTTTCATTTTAAACTAGCAAGCAGATCTCCAAGACAATAAATAGTTGATGGGCCGTTTTTTAAGATCCTTCCCGGGCAGGGAATCTTTCTGCGCTTCTAAGGTTTTTCCTGGGCAGGCGGTGGGGAGGTGGGGGGAGGTTAAGGGTGGGGATCGGGGGCCGTAGGAAGAAGGGGGAAAGGTTCACCTTCGGGCGCTCGCCGGAGCGGTTCGGCTGCTTTGCTGCTCAGCAGCCCGGTAAGGAAAACCTCTGGGAGGGTTGGGAATGCGGCTTTTAAAACTGAGAATAGGGCTTCTTTTCATAGTTTGGCCAAACTTTTAAACACCCCGGATTTTATTAGCTTCGTATATCGACGAATAAATGGGGTGTTGTTTTTTTAAAAATTTAAACAAAAAGTAATACTAGGAAGAGTCCGTTGAGGAACGCGAGAGAAATAATATGAAAGAGGGAAAGTTCGGGCGGATTTGATTCCCGAAGGTCGGGAAGAAATAATGTGGACAGCGGCGGTTTGATTTGTTTGGAAGTGCTTTTAGAAGGAAGGAAGGAAGGAAGGAAGGAAGGAAGGAAGGAAGGAAGGAAGGAAAAGAGAGAAAGAGAGAGAGCGCGAGAGAACAAGGAAGGAAAGAAGGAAGGAAGAGAAAGAAAAAGAAAGAAAGAGAAAGAACGAGGAAGGAAGGAAGAATGAAGAAAAAGAAAGATAGATAGATAGAAAGAAAGATGAAAGAAAAGAAGGAAGGAAGAGAAAGAAAAGAAAGAGAGAAAGAACGAGGAAGGAAGGAAGAAGGAAGAAAAAGAAAGATAGGTAGATAGAAAGATGAAAGAAAGAAAGAAAGAAAGAAAGAAAGAAAGAAAGAAAGAAAGAAAGAAAGAAAGATTTAAAGGCCTAGAACGGCTTTGCTTTAAGAAAATCCGAACACCTTTGCTATTAGTTACACATATACAGGAAACAGGCAGAAGGGCAGATCTGGAGGGGTTTGATTGACAGCTCCTCGCATTGTTGGGCAGCTTTAATAGAATTTAACCCCTCCAATATGCAAAAAAAGGGGGGTGTCAAAAGAAAGCACCGTATTCAGACTTCTGCCACATTCAGACGGTGTGATCCCCCTTTTATTCCTGCAGAAATTGCAAGCAGCCTTAAAATATATCTCTAAGCTTCCTTCTCTGCCTTCTCCTTTTTTTTTTAAGAAGGAGAGTGAAAATGATTTTCACTCTCATTTTTCCAGCCCAGAACCCCCCCAAAAAAAATTTCTGCAGAGGAAAACCAAGCCTACTTTTTAGAAAATGGGTCCCCCCCCCCCCTTCAGGACGAGACTGTGGAATGAGAAAAGGCCAGTGAAAAAGTTTCAGGAAAACCCTTGGAAAGGTCTGAGGGGTTCAAGATGGGGAGGTTTCGGTTGAAATTCCCTCTCCAGACTCCAGCCAAAACCTTACCGGGAAACCCAAACGGTGTGTCCCCCCCCCCCCCCCAAGACTTTCTGGTTTTTCTTTGAAGACGTTTCGCTTCTCATCCGAAGAAGCTTCTTCAGCTCTTAAACCGGAGACCTTTTCAGCTAAGGGGAAGGATCTCGTTGATCCCTTGCGGGTTCTCGGGTTTAAAAGCTGCCTTCACACAACCCCCACCACCCCCAAATCACTTACCGGATCCTGCTTGGCTCCTCTTCGGAGCCCTTTGCTAAACCTTGTTGGCAATCGGTTATTTATTTTTTTTAGACTGAGTCCCCCCGCCCCACTTTTGCAGGGAGGAGATTAGACGCTGTGCGAATCCAGCTCCCCCCTCCTCTGCTTCGTTTACTGCCGGACGCGTTAAAACAAACCAGTTTTTTTGGCGAGGGGGAGGAATGAGTGAATCCCAAGGCGGCGGACAAAGGGGTGTGTGTGAAGGCAACCCCGGATTTCACCGCGGTTACTTTTAGGAGTTTGTTGACCAATGTTTTGGGTTGTATTTTTTGCAAGAATATCTCTCTCTCTTTCTCTGTCTGTCTGTCTGTCTGTCTGTCTCTCTTTCTGTTTCTCTCTCACACACGCTTTCTCTCTGTCTCTCTTTCTGTGTGTATCTCTTTCACTCTCTTTCTTTCTGTCTCTGTCTCTCTCTCTCTCTCTCTCTCTCTCTTTGTTTCTCTCTCACACACGCTTTCTCTCTGTCTCTCTTTCTGTGTGTATCTCTTTCACTCTCTTTCTTTCTGTCTGTCTCCCTCTCTCTCTCTCTTTCTGTTTCTCTCTCACACACGCTTTCTCTCTGTCTCTCTTTCTGTGTGTGTCTCTTTCACTCTCTTTCTTTCTGTCTCTGTCTCTCTCTCTGTCTCTCTGCGTTTCTCTCTCTGCCCATTCCTGTTTTGTAACCCCTCTCCCTTGTTTTCTCTCCCCTTCCCTTCCATCGCTCAGGGCGCCCAGTATGAGCTGAAGGACAGCCCAGGCGTCCAAGCCGCGGCCTTCCCGGCCCCTCACCCGGCTTTCTACCCTTACGGCCAGTACCAGTTCGGCGACCCCTCCAGGCCCAAGAACGCCACCCGCGAGAGCACCAGCACGCTGAAGGCCTGGCTGAACGAGCACCGCAAGAACCCTTACCCGACCAAGGGCGAGAAGATCATGCTGGCCATCATCACCAAGATGACCCTCACCCAAGTCTCCACCTGGTTCGCCAACGCCCGGCGACGCCTCAAGAAGGAGAACAAGATGACCTGGGCGCCCCGCAGCCGCAGCGAGGACGAGGAAGGCACGGCCTACGGCAGCGAGGACGGCGAGGGCGAGAAGCGAGACCCCGACGACGAGGAGATCGACCTTGAGAATAGCGACAGCGAACCCTCGGAGAGCGGCGGCGGCGGTGGCGGCGGGCCGGCGGGAGCCGGGGGCCCAACCGGGCAGGTTCTCCTGCACGTCGGGGAGGCAGGGGAAGAGGGCCGGGAGGCGGGCGCGGATCAGGAGGGCGCGCAACCGACGGCGTTGCGCTTGCCTTCCCCGCGGGAGCCCCGCGCTGGTAGCGACACGTCGGAAGACGAGGAGGAAGAGGAGGAGGAGGAGGAGGAAGAGAGCTCCGACGGCTTCGAGGAACTGTCCGGCGCTCAGGAGCGCTTCCTGAAGGCGGTGGAAGCCAGGCGGCGCGCCACGACGGGACCCCCGCCTCTCCGCAGCCCCAGCCCGCTTCCCCAGCCCGCCCAGCCGCCCAAGCCTAAAATCTGGTCTTTGGCAGAGACGGCGACCAGCCCGGATAACCCCTCGCGCAAATCGCCCCCTGGCGGTGGAGGAGGAGGAGGAGGAGGAAGGGGGTCCCCCCCGACCGGCCCCCAATGCCTTCCCCAATCCGCCCCGGGCAGCGCGCACAGACTGGTCTCCGCTTGCCCGCTGGGCAAATTCGCCGCTTGGTCGGGCCGGCCCTTCTCGGGCGCCGCCGCCGGCCCCCCGCACGCCTCCCACCCGCTGACTTTGCTGAACACTCCCCATCTCTTGGGACTGGCGGGGGGCAACTCCAGCACGGCGCCCGCGGCGGCGGCAGCAGCGGCGGCGGCTCTAGCGGCTTTTTCCAGACCGGCGGACCAAGCGCCGAGCGCGGAAGCCTGCGGAACAGGTAACCACTGGACGAGGGGCGTGGGGGAGAGGGGGGGAGGCTAAACCAGCTGCCGGGTGGGAGAGAGGGGCAAACTGTGGAAAGGTACTTTGTTGGGGGTGGGCAGGGGACCTGGACCCCTCCCCCTTGGATCTCTGTGGGCAAGTCAACCGCCCCTCCTTTCCCTCTCGATCGGATTGAAATAGATTTGGGGCGTTGGATTTGATACTCGGTTTGGCCCGCGGAGGGTTTCTTTTTTGAGAGGACAAGCGCGTTGAACGCGGGATCCTGGGCGGCTGCGTTCCCACAACCCATAAGCCCCCAAACAATCCTTCCTCCCTTGGTTTAGCGTGACGTACGGATCCAGATCCTGGCTGGAGGTTCTGTCGGATTGGAGACTTTGCGAGGAAGGTCGAGGGACTTCGGTTCGGGGCAGGATGGGCAAGCAAGTGGGTCGTGAGAACTCGGCCAGCCAGCCAGGAATACGGTGCCCAGCTTAGAAGCTGAGGGCCTGGAATTGGGGAAGAGCCAAAGGGATCCCAAATAAATATTCCCATAGGGGTTTTTTGTTTTTTTTTAAAGAATCAGGGAGTGGGAAAATTGCAGAAGACGGTTTGAAGAAGTGGGAAGGATGTCCTCGGGAATTTGAAACCCGGGGACAATTGAACGTCAGGAGAGAGCTTATTAATATTATTAATTATTAATATTATTAAGAGAATATATATATATAGTGTATGTGTGTATGTGTGTATGTATGTATGTATGTATGTATGTGTGTGTGTGTGTGTGTGTGTGTGTGTGTATATATATATATATATTGTGTTTGTGTTTGTGTGTATATGTAATTATATATGTATGTATGTATGTGTGTGTGTGTGTGTGTGTGTATATATATATATATATATTGTGTTTGTGTTTGTGTGTATATGTAATT